ATTTTTGTAGTCACTGGGTATAGGTGCCAGTTTAATCACAGCAACTCAGAATTTTCTAGGCTAACATACAACAGACAGATGAAACCAAATTAGGAATGTGAGGTGCTAACAAAAATTACAGTTCTGTGGCACGTTTAGATTGCTTGTGGTCCCTTTTCCCAGAAACAACCTTCAGTAGTCTGCACAAGAAAAAAATCAGATGTCACATGACATTAATGGCAGGAGAACAGCCTTTTGTCCCTGCATCTAGTTTCTATCACCAAGAAGTCATTTCGGTGTCAAAGCTTACAAAAGTCTCTGAAAAACAAATTATGTACGAAAGAGGATGAAGAAAAAATTATAATGATGAAATTCACCCCCTCAATGAAAATAGCTACAGCTATGCTGGAACAAAAACAAAAACAAAACAAAAACAAAAAACAGAAAGGCGACAAATAATATTCATTTTGACATTTTAGCTTCATGAAGAATTTTGTAGTTTTGAAATTGATTCTCTTTGAAATAACTAAAATTATTTTGAAGGATAGTGGCTTTTTTCTTCCACAGAGAAATATCTTTCATGATTAACTCTATTCCCAAAACAAGTGATTTTTCAAACATTCTGATGACTTTCTCAAAGATACAGAAAGACTGCATTTCAAACACATTCTGAAAAATTCAGAAATACTTCGTTGGATTATCAACTTCCTTAGTCTAAGGTTTAATTGCATTCTGACCTTCTTTAACTCATTATATTTTAAAATGGAAGTCCTTTTCAGGGACGGAGCAGTGAGCTTTTATAATTCATAGCTCAGTATGAAATTGTGCAAAAGAATATATTACTACATTTGTTTAAAGAAAATTGTGACATATATAAGTTAAAAGAGAACTTATGGATCCTAAGGAAGTAGTCAGAAGACTTATGAGATAAACATTCCAGCACATTCTTCATTTAAAAAAAATACTTTCCACTACCATCTAATTCTAAATTAACAGCGATTTATATTCTGAACTTTTATATTTGATCCAAATCAGAGACACATTTTCAAACCATGCAATTATTATCCACTCTTTGTTACTGGACAAAATCAAATGCTTCAAATTTGGAAAGAATCTTGAACATTAGTTGTGTTGTTCAACCTAAGAAGTTTGTATATAGCTCTCAAAAGTTATTGGTTTATCCAAAAGTATGAGTACTATGTATTTGCATCAATTGTAAGATACTACAGATGTATGTAATGACCACATTGGGATCATGAAATCAAAGAATTTAAATTAGATGTTCAAACATTTTACTGAGTTTGCGTGAATTTAGCAAAGAAATTCACTGACTGCCAGTAGACTTCCTGAGTGAGATGAATGTCTTCATTCATTTTCTATGAATTCTTTTATTTAAATTGTATTAAATATCAGAAAATATACTGGTGAATTACAAGATGGTGAATTTTCACCAACGTAATTCACAAAACATTCTTCATGTTCACCTTTTCAAAAAGATGAAAAGACAATTATTCTCCATTTCTGAAAATGAAGATTAAGAACACCAAAACAGTCATGTCTTCTTATGGAAATATACTCAATTACAGCTTTTAACAACAGACCATTTAAATTCAAAATTATCAGAATGTTTAAAATTCTTTTTCTTTCTTTCTCGAGGTGATATTCCTTAAAGACAGATTTAATTACCTGAACTTGTTATCATGATTTACTAAGATTATGTTGTAATCATATTTTATCCATTCATCTTTTTCCTTCAGTTGAGTCAAAACAGGCTTATTTGGACTTGTAATAATAATAAAAAAGCTGAATGTAGAAATTATGTAGTGTAATTTGGCAACTTATCAGCCAGGATGCCACTATGAATTTCTAAGCCTGAACACTTAGGTTGAAAAGTCACATGGAAACCAGATCTTGCTACAATAACCTTGTAACTTGAATCTAATTTGCTTTGGTTCTTATTTTAAGAAAAGGATCTTATGTAAACACTGTCACTGCAGGCAAAGTTTAATCTCGTCAAAATTTACAATTAATTTGCAGTAAAAATGCTTCTTTCTAACTTTTGTCCACTTTGGAAATAAGAATTATTATTTCAGAATCAGAGAATCAACACATGTAGGTATTCTCAAATAGTTTAGAACTTAAAATTTATATCTTGTTCTCCCGAAAAATGACTCTTCTACAGAGTTACAATATAGCAAATATTGAAGAGTTTTCAAAAATGTATGTAATGTCTGATAATTATGGCCATTTTATTTTGTTTCAGTAACTACCAAAAGCCAATCAAAAAAAACCAAACCACTGCATGTAATTAAGAAAGGAAAAAAAATCCTGTAGTATTTTCCTTTGTCAGAATAAATCATGTTTCTGAGACCCTCTTGCATTTTTTCTCATGCACCACTGGATATCCAAGCTAACAAGAGTCAAATGAACCATGATATAAATAGCATATAAATAAATACAGAAAAAAAAAATAACAAAAAAACAACAAAAAACCCACATCAGAATAAAACAATAATACCATGCTGTGATTTCAGGATTAAAATAACAGTTACCATTTCTTTCTTTTATCCTTTCCCTAGAACAATTTAACTCACAAATATAGTTTAGACAAGATATTTTAAAGCATTGTCCTAGACGTATTAGTAAAATGTTTTTTTTTCTTTATGAATTTAAGCAGTATAGAGTAAAATATATTTCTAAAATGATTTAATCGATTTTACAAATAAATACGATGAACGAGAGAAAATGAGCCATTAGATGTATGTTAGCTATTTTGATTATTTTCATATCCTTAAAGCAAGTAAAAAAATACAGACATTTACTCTATCTGCATCTTAAAATAGTAACTAATGATGAACAATATTCTCAGCCCCTAGCAGAAGCATGCAGGACTTCAGAAGCTATGCAACCTAAAGTTTGAGCTAGAAAACTCCTATTTGCCTTCTACATCTTCTTAAGATGCACAATAATCAATGATGGTTGTGTGCCAAATTAAACAACAGCCTCAAGTAATTCTACTTTCTCAGTATTGTTTTCTCGAGTGCCTGCCACAAAACTCAGTCTAGATTGATCCATGAATAAATCAAGTGGATTGGAATAAGGGAAATAAGTTTGGGTCCTGCCATGTTGATAATAAAAGAATGGAACAGTGCACTACTACACTGTCTTCTTGGATGTATACTGAAGGAGTGATAATGCGTTTTGACAAAGAGGATGAATAGCAATACCAAAGGTAACTGTTTCATGACATAAGAGTCCTAGGTCTCACTAGCTACATGACAGTGTATTACTATGGTAGGTGTGTATTAGGAAGAAACTGGAGTGATGACAAATTGCAATAAGAAAAAAATCCTGCTGGGTTATCCACCAGAGATTCTATATTGTGATTGTCTTAAGGTAGTAAGCATATCTTCAAACAATTCAAACTGTCAGATACAGGGAACAAACAGTTATTTTAGATGTTCAGCTTTAGTTTGAAGGCTCCTAGAAAGCTAGTTAGCAAGAAGTCAATTAAGTAGTCAGTAGCATCATCAAGTGGAATGTTAATCCTTATAATGGAAGTATGTACACCAACTAGCAACCAACTAGGTTAAACGTATCTCTCCATCCAATTTTGAGAAATTAGAAATTATAATGTCTCATGAAAAAAAAAAAACACAACTGAATTCTACAGATTATTGCATATGTTTGCAAATAATCATTGACTCTTATTGGGTGACGAAAGATTGAAATGCAAACTTAAACTGTAAACCTGTGAATTTTAATCCAGAAAAGTCATGATTACAGTTGTCTAAAAAATCGTTGCAATGGAATCTCATTCTGACTAGGGATTAGTTGCAAGAACTATTAACGGATCCTTGTGCTAATTTAGCATTGTTACTGCTAACAGTACTTTCTCACAGTACAAATGCCTATTCTATACTTAAATACACAAAAAAGCTTTCTTAAATCATAGTTGCTAACAAATTATACAGTGACACTACAGCATAGGTCAAATCCTGTTGACATCATTAGCAGCAGAATCAATTATGAGATTGCAAAATTTCTCCCATTTTGTTGAATTAACAAAGCTATACAGGTAAATTCTATATCATTTTCTCTACATTAAAAACTTTAAATATTCTATAAATCTGTTTTATTATTTTCATGTGTACCATGTTGTTTTCCGTAACTAACATTGCTTTCAGTGAAATCTTATTCTAGTACAATAAACAACACAAAAAAGAATAATTCATGATAACAAAAATAATTAAATAGTAGGAGCAGGTTAAAGATCAGCATTCATTTTTAAAATTAAATTTAAAAGTCTGCAGTGGTTACTTAGAAGATTGGCAAGTTTTACAAATAACATCACCAAGCCTTTTAGAGAGAAACACAGCCGCATTAGAATGGAGTCATTAGGCAATACATTTATTTTGAAGCCAATTAACCTTTTGTCAGAGAAATGTCGTAGCTGTAATGGCTTCAGCAGTGGAGGTCAGCCTCTAACAGGGGCACGTATGACAGCGATTACGCTGTCTGACATATGCTGTAGACTGAGAGTACAGCTGTGGAATGAGAATCTGCCTTCGTTTGTATTCTGCTCTGCATTTTCAGGGAGCAGGCAATCTTGACCTATCCATTTAGGTAATTAAAGCTTCTATTTGGAAGTGTCCTGCAGGAAGGTGAAATTTGGGGTAGATAAATGGCTGCTGCTCAGCGAAACCAACCACTTCCATCATTTGATGGACTGCCTGAAATAGGCTGCATTGCCAGGTCCTCATAAAAAGAGAGATGAATTGGGAAGGAGGCAATTCTCTAAGGCAAAGCAACTCTGTCATCTTGCTTTTTGCAGCCTATAATTTAATTGTTAGCCAAGGTAGACAGCTGAATCAAGAGCCTTTTTTTAACAACTTCCCCACCACTTTCCATTTTCTAAGAAACTACTTTGGTTTGTTACTTCCAAGACAACCTTTTTTTTGACAATTAGAGATGTCACTTCAACAAGCTCAGGTGGCTATCAAAGGCATGTTATGACTTACCTTCCATGCTATTCTGTTCCCCTTCGTATCATGCTCAACAGCAATGGGGAGGTCTCCTCGTTCATAAAACCTGCGAAATGCTGTGGGCTTTGTTGGTCTCTCTTTAAATGCTCCTGCAAGTGGGGGCCCCCGTACCTTAAAACAGAAAGAAACAAATTCTACTATAATTCCATGATAATGGCATGAAATATATTCAGGAAAAGCTTATATGACTGAACACAGAAAGAAATAAAAAACCTCACTGATCTCCCAAACTAGCTTGCAATTGTCTCTGCAAGTTTCACTATCTGTTCCTTTTTGTTTGTTTACCAATACTTCATTCTACCCCATAAAAACTTTGTATTTCTTTGTGGCCACCTCAGTTCTTGCAGCATTTTTAAGACAAAACCATCAAAAATACATTTACATAATAAAGTGCAAGTTTTCGTAAAATCAAGCATTTGTCCTTGAGAAATCTTCTTTGAATTGTTTCTTTATAGAAGTCATTTGGCTTGGTTTCTATCTAATACAGCTGTCTTTTCTTACCATTGTCTTTCTTCGACCTACTTCACTAGATCCTTTCCTCAGTTCTTCTGCATATGGCTTTTGTATGATTTCCAGCCCCTCAGTATTGGCCTTTCAGTATCTAAAGGGGAGCTACATAAAATAGAGACAGACTCTTTATCAGGGTCTGTGGTGATAGCACAAGTGAAAATGGTTTCAAGGTCAGAGGGGAGATTTAGGTTAGATATAAGGAAAAAGTCTTTTACAGTGAGGATGGTGAGGCACTGGATCAAGTTACCTAGTGTTGTGGTTGATGCCTTGTCCCTGGGGATTTCAGGGACTTGATCTGTGGATGTCCCTGTTCATTGCAGAGGAGCTGGACTAGGTGGCCTTCAGAGGTCATTTTCAACTCTAAGGATTCTAGGATTCTATGATCAATAGTTGAAGCTTAGAAGAAGTGGAAGAGTCTACTCCTAAATCACTCCGCTCTGCCTTTGTTGCTTTAGAAGAATATCTGATTCAGCTCCACTTGGTTCCTTAGCTATGTCTAGTCAGTGTGTCATGTAGCCTGAGTACCTGAATGATAGGCCAATTCTAAAATGTTCACAAAGGAACTTTTTTCTCAGCCAAACTTAGTAGTAACAGTAACTGAAAACCAGCACAAAGATAACAGAATTTCAAATACGTAGAAGAAATCTACTGTTTAAACTAATTAACAAAGCTAATCTCAAATGCTAGAAGAAACTAAGAGAGTTAAAGTAATCTCAAATGCCCTTGACAATTACTCCCTGAGAAATTCTTGTCCGTATATATTTTTTTTAAATATATTTTATAGCAATGTCTGAGATAAAGACTGCATACAATTCTCTCCATATCTCTTTCTTCAAAAATGCCACTGTGACTTGGTGCCTTTTATAATATAAAAAGCGTCATTTTCAAAAAAAGGCAAGAGCTTCAAGGATCGTAACTCATATCCAGCATATTGTATTGTTCTAATTGTCTCATAATATGTTTCTCCATCTTCAATGACCTTGATGTTAGTTTCTAGCAGTACAGTCAGTGTTTCAGTGAATAGAACACAAGCATGTAACATTCTTTGCTTCACTTGCGTTATTCTGTAATTTAACCGTGGCAACCAAGATCAAAACTTGACCTTGCAATTTTTTTCTTTCAACATATTTTACCATTTTTTACTACTCAGAAGACTGACACAGTGTGATCGACCAGTGATATGCATATACTGTACTTTAGTGCAAACTGTTTAAACTAGGGCTTCTAAACTGTGACAGACTGCTGCATAGTGCTATCACCGATAGACCATGCCTAGTGAAAATAGATTTTACATGCATACTGTAATACGGCTTAGTAAACACACCTGCAACAGTAGAGCATAACACTCTGAGAAAAGCACTTCAAACTGATGTGAATAAATCTACTCTTGTTGTTCTGTAGAGGCACAATTTGTACTGTGCCATCAGGATAGGTGCTTTCACTTTTCTTTAGATTTTTTTAATGCTCCTTCCATGTATTTTTCAATATTGGTGTGATCTTCACACGTTCTTTAAGACATGTGTTTCCATAAAGTATTAGGAGTCCCTGTTCTAATTAAAATTTAACTTATATTATTGATAAAGAACACATTGTCTTGCTTACATGAGCTACAATCTTAATTATTTTTGGCAGACTATCATCATTATAGGTAGAAAAAGCAAGCCCAAACTACATCTTCTCTGAAGACAAAAATTATTCTTCCTAATTAATTTTAGTAGTTTTAGTATGAACTTTTATCTACTGCACTTCTGCAAATTTTCTGGTTCAATTTCTTCATATTCTTCATTTGGAAACAAAGAAACTAGAGGAATAAAAAGATCTTGGTCATCAAATATTACATATTATATATTTATATATATTTATACATAATATAAATATATCCTTTATTATTCCTCTAATATTTCTGACCTATAAAATGCGTTTAAAAAATGGTCAAGACGTTTTTACTGCTGAAATGCTATTATATGTTATCCTTATTTCAATAGTTAGAAATCACATTTTAAGTAGTATGCCTACTCTGATCTGCCAACTGAAAAAAGCCAAACCAAACAAACAAAAATATATGGTATGTTTAAAAGAGTTTTAGAGAAGAACAATGACTGAAGTTACAGAATGACTTTTACATAAATATAATGTCAGGAAAATGATTACTAAGGAGAAATAAAAGCAAATCACTGCTTCACAGAGAGAATGAATAGGGACTGATTTTCCATTGTTTCCCTCACTAAAAGTACAGAACATGAAAACAAGCCATTAAGTGAAAAATTTGGAACAAAGAAAACAGATTATGTATTCATGCAGCAACTCTTGGATTTATGGAACTCCTTGCACAAATTCAGTGGTGAGACTTCTTGAAGTTTCTGTGCGTTCAAGATGTAACTGGAAAAGCTGATAAAAAAGAAATATATTCAAGCTTACCAAATCCACAGCATCAGTGATGAGAAACACAGTTGGTAGTACCTTTTCACACAACACAAATAGTTTTTCTGGTAGACCTCCTAGCATTATACTTAGTCTCTCACAGTCACAATAGGCTGGCAACTCATAGTTACCCTTTGATTAACAACAGCAACCATCTTTCACTGTAGATGAGCACTATGTTAATAACATAATTTATTATCATTACTTTTAAGTGCATTACCCTGTATTTTATACTAATATATTTAATTCTGATTCTGCCACACCAGTTCTGAAAGGTTTCTACTTCCATCTTTGTGACACTCTAACCTTAATCTATTTTAATAACTACTCCAAGCATAGAATCAGCAGTAGATTTCATTATATAATCCTATTTTTTTTTTTTAGATTGCTTATAAAAATATTTAATTAGGTTTGCTTGAGGAAAAATAAAGGCATATAATTTACTTTTTTATAATTCCCAATTTATCTGCATTTATTTCATATATTTATTTTTATTTATAGAATCTGGAGATGAGACTTCCTTTTCTTCTCTATTTGTAGATAATCACAGTACAGACATTTTGATCATGAATTTGGATCAGTAGCTCTAAGAAGTAATAAAAGAGAAACAATTAAAATCTGGATCACAGTAAACACAGGGAGAAACGGTTGCATAACCTTCAGATCAGTCAATTTCTTCAGGACAAAAAGCCAACTCTATGTCTCTTTTGCTTTTCATAGAAAAGACACATTTATCGCAATAGATTATTGTTGAAAAACATTTTCCAACATGTATCTGACAATTCCTAACACCTCTTTTCCTCATGCAGACTTAACATTTTGTTATGTGTATCTCAATTAGGACCTTCCAAGCTGCAACAATTTCCCTATAAACTTAAGGAAAAATACAGAAATCAAAAGGATACATTTCTATTGATCCTGGTGACAGATAAAAATAAACTTCTTACCATGCTGCTTGCATGTATCATGCTTTTCAAAATCTTACAGAAATGTTAAGCTTTTAACTTTCAGAAGATGACTTTTACTGGCTTATGAGCAGCTGGTCAAAAAAATGGATTTCCTATGGATTGGGTGTTGAGTATAATCTGAATTTATTTATAAAGAATCTGAATGATAGGACTAAATGCTCACTTATCGAGTTTGCAGATGCCATAAGACTGGGAGAAGAACTTATGTTTGAAGAGACATAAGACTGTACACCAGAAGAAATAGTAACCACAAAGAGAGAGACCCTCATTGACAAGGAATAAGAGTTGCAGAAATATATCTTGCATGAGATACATAATCTCAAACAGCAGTGCAAGCTGATTGGGTAGGAGATCAGTTAGGGCGTAACTTTGCTGAGAAACACCTGGGAATTCACACTGAGTTAGTTGTACTTCCAGAGCAATGAAGGCAATCTAAACCCTATACTGCATTTGTAGCAGTACCATCAGCAGATCAAGCACTTCCACTATCCTTAAGAATTGCTTACACAGCTAGAATGCTGGCTACAGTTTTGGTCCTCTCAGTGAACGACAAAAGCGCGTGTATCTTCCAACTGACCATGAACATGATTAGAGGTCTACAGGTTGTGACAGAAGGTTCAAAAAACTGAGTGTGTTCAGCCTAGCTAGATAAGGCTTAAGGTATGTCTAATCACAGCCTTCCAATTCCTAAAAGGCAGTTAGAGAAATGACGGTATTCTCTTACACAGAAAAAGAGGCAACAGGTGCAAGTAGCTTTAAAGGTAATTCTGAGGAAAAAAATCATTGGAGTAGATTGCCCAGATGTGGTGGAATACCTCTGAAAATCTAAAGAATTAGCTTGACAAGGAGTCTTAGCATTTAACAGAAAGTTGGACAAGATGCTCTTCAGAGGACCCTTCCAAATGTGGGTTCTATGCAATTTTATGTTTCTAAGTAAAATATACAAAAACATATTGTATACTTTTCATAATTAGCTTAACCTTCCATTAGTGAGTTAAAAAGCCCTAAAACATTCTGGAAGTATTCAGTTTATTGGAAAAAGCAGTAACAAATAGTACCTTCATCAACCTAATAAAAATATTTCATTGCAACGTAGTTAGAAAGACTAAGACTAGAGTTCCAGTTAATTAAAGGCATGATGGCAAAGTATATGAAGCAATAAACAGCTGCTGAGGTTCGTTAAATGCCAAAGAGAAGTTAAACAATTTGATA